TCTGTTCAATCCTTGTCACTCCTGATCACTGCAACTCTCTCTCTCTCAACATCTTATCCTGGCTGCTGCCAATTTGGTGAGAAAACCGTGAATCATTAACCTCCTCACTCTTGTTGGATAAACCGGATCAACAGCTCTAGTCTAACCTCTTTTTCTTTCATCTTGATCTTTAGCTCTTATTATTTGTATTTCTTTAATCTTATATATCTGTCAGCTCCGGTCTCTTATGTGACCAGGAGTAGATGGGGTATAGGGTCACGACTCACACTATAGCCAAGAGGGCCACTGGAAAGTAAGTCCAACTCAACACTTGTACCGTGGAGGGACTAGCTCCTTATAACAATAAGGGATAGCTGTGGAATCAGCTTCACAGTGTCAGAGCTTAATTAATTTAAGAGAAATGATGTTGTACTAGTCTCATAAGTTAAATATGTAACTTATAAGGCTAGTAATGAAGACAGAGGAAAGTGTAATTAATATATTAATAAAATATTGTAAAAACCCCACTCACGATTTATTATGGTGTAATATCTAGTAAGGTGCTTGGTTTTGTATGGTAATAATGTCTGGGGTATGAATCTCAGGGAAAGAGTCATCCCCTTAAATATCACAGAGAAGGGGTCAAACTGCTGCTGGGACCGGTGCAGTCCCCTTATTGGTACACTATTCCTTGGGGGAAAGTGTCAGGATATTCAGAGCATGATAAATGTACATGTGCTGACTATCTTTTATTTCAGAAAATACACATAATAGAGATAAACAGAATATATATTCACACAAGAGAGATAAACAAGATTATAATCATCTCTTGGATACACCCAAGAGATAATTATCCTTTTCAACTTGAGTATAATTTTCATGAAAGAGGTAAATTAATAAAGAGGTGAATCTTTATTAATTTACAGAATAATTATTAACATAAAAAATACATATAATATTAAATAATATTAATCAATACTTATTGACTTAAAGATTACATAGGATCATATTTATTACGTAACCCAAGGGGGTTACATTCTTTTGTAGACACCTGGGCTAGTGTCCCAGTGTCTGAAAATATCTAAGCCTGTCTGTTCTGCTTCCCATCAAACACAAATCTCATTGTGTTATTCTTCTCATATCTTTCTTATTCATCATTGTCTTTCTCATTTTCATTGTGTTTGATGTGTCTTTTTTTCTATTTTTCTATTCAAGTTCTGATTCCTGTTTCAGTAATAATAAGAGGGTAGAAGGCTGGATGCCGGTTGGCGGCATCAGACCCAGGCCGGTGAAGAAAATGGGAAAGATGAAAGATGGCTTGAAAGATGTAGTTGATATACCTAGAGATGGTCTCCTGGTATCCATTGTGGATACCCGTTATCTGCTGGCGGATACTTGCCTGCTGTAACGGATACCCGCCAGGGGATATGGTTTTGGGTGCAGATGTGCCATTTCTGCTGATGTTCCAGTGAATACCCGGGTATCTCAACAGATACCCAAGGCCAATGGCCAGCTGGAAGGGTTTCCTTCCAGCAGGCAAGGTACATGTACCTTGCCAACTGGAAGGAAACATGTACCTTGCCAACTGGAAGGAAACATGTACCTTGCCAACTGGAAGGAAACCCTTCCAGCCAGTGCTTCGCCAACCTTTTAAAGGGGGGGTATCCAAGGATACCCGCCAGCGGCTGCGGATGCGGGTTTGGATGCCAATTTCCCCGGAAAAAGCAGCCGGATATCCAGATGTTCCGGGGCCATCTCTAGATATACCTATTGGACCAGAGGAAAACCAGCCCGCACCTTCATGCTTGGTAACCAATGCAGCTGAAATATCTATATGTGATTATTCAATGCAGATGGCTAAAAAAAATCAAGCATGAACTGCATAGGCTAGGAAGGACAACTTTGGTTGGAATTTTGTCACTCAGAGATGGATCTGAAGGGCCTCAGAATCTTTGCATCAGTACCATAAACAGACGTCAATTAGCACCAGTTACATGTCTGGTCTGGTGCCAAGAGCCTACAATTTACCAGCCATTTCTGACCCACATTGATGGTGGATTGCATCCTATTGCACATTTGGTCAGAAATTGACATCCAAACCTGGCTTCTTTTACTCAAGATACAAGATTGAAGCTGGATCTCAGATGTGATTTGGTTGCTTGAATTGTGAATAGACTTTGGTTCATATAGTCGGTGGCAAGACCTTGGTGCCCACTGTAAACACCAAAATGCAAGGTGTTGCCAAGAGAACCTAACACATAATGTTGGAGGGCACTGTCCCACTAAAGCGGAGGGGCTAACTTCATTTCAAGGTACAGGATCATTTGACAACTGGGAGGATTCCTCCCAGTTGTCAAGACTGTACTGTGTGGAACTCCTATCGTGCCAGGCGGTAGGCAGTTGGTTGAAGGGATGGTGCTTTGAGGGCTGCCTTCAAGTGGGGTCTGGATGAGTTGAGCTGTGATCTGAACAAAACACGTTGGGGTTGGTTGGTTTTCTGAGAGGGTACAACAGAAGTTGATTTCTGTGGCGGTTGTTGAGCTTGAGGATCAGTGTGTATGAGGATCAGAAGAGATTAATAATAAAAAGATCAATAAGAATTGATGGTCTATCTTGATCAGATCAGAGTGCCATGCTCCCCATCAT